TAAATCAGTTAAATGATGAAAAATTAGGTGTCTATTTACTTGTGACCACTCAGTGTATATATATATATTATATCCATACTGTTGAATGATAAAGAAGCATATGCACTGATGTGAGGGGCTGGTAACAATGAGAATAAATCAGCCAATAAAACATATCATTTGGATATAGTGATCATTTTATTGATCAATCATACAAATCACACAGCCAGATGAGACTACCCAATTGGTTTAGTAATGATTGACATCAAAGCTGCTAAATAATTTCTCCTCATGATGCTGTTGCTAACAATAACCAATGTCTTTAGGTTAGTTGCAGGAATGTCGAGAACCAGCATGGGCCCTGGGGCAAACATTCTCGCCAGGCCCCCTTTCTCTCGATTTTTATAACATTTTTAAGAACTTAGTAAAAAGCAGGACAGCAGTGAGCTCACAAGGCAAAATCATAGCAGCAGTCATTTTTAGCTAACAGTATAAGCGTAAAAACGTTAATAAAGTGACAACAAATATCTATTAAATCTATAAAGTAACAAATATATATTAATTATTACTTCAATCATTCTTAATGTATCAAGCATCTATATGCAAAGAAATGCCAAAAACTGTGCTCTTTATAAGCAAATGAAGGTACAGTCTAAAGGTTCTTTGTAGGCTTTACAGCATAACCAGGTTTCATTTGCCCAGACCCCTGGAGAGTTGCCTCCTTTGCCCCTCCTGTTGGTGGGCCTGGTCATTTGTTCATTGGAAGAATATTTAATGATTGTTTAGATTCTGTGAATCCTGATGTATGCTCTCTGACAGTACAATGGAAGGCATGTGAATTGGATAAAAGCAGTTCACTTTAGTCTCAGTACTGAGTACTGGACAAAATTCACCCCTGCTTGTTAATATTTGTAACCTAGCATGCATAATAGAGGCTTTATATAGTATATAATCTTACAACAGAAGATGTTATGCCAAACTGGGACTTGCATATTTAAGGATCACTAATAACAAACTCAACATACTTTTTTAATATAGAAAAAAATTATTATTTACTGACATTTCATCAGTGTATTAATGATTGTGTAACATATGTTATGTGTAATTAAGTTATTTTCTTGACTACACTGCAGAGTAGGATTTTTTTATTGACTTTATATTATACTTACTTCTTTGGCCTCACACATTTAGTCTTGAGGGGGCCATTACAGTTTTAAAGGCTACTCTACTCTACTCTTTAGTTAGTATGTATATATATACTCCATATCTCAACAATACACACTTTATTCGATACTCAGTATCAAAAATTTCTGTAAAGATTCAGATTATTTCATCTCTGTGCTTTTTAATATGAACCTTATTGATGATGATAATGAGCTTTATTTGATTTTTCAAAATTGGTTCCATTCTATCAGTTTTCAGTGGTTGTTTAATTTTTCCATTGTATATTATTTTGGTATGATGTTAATTTGAATATTTAAGTCACCATTTCATAAACTGTATATGTTTCTACATTAAGATTAAAGGAAATGTATCTATATAATGTCTTAAACTAAAAACACTTTGTGTAGAATTGTTTAACTGTGTTTATGGACAGTATATGTAAACTTTGAAATATACAGGTCATTAGGATAGCATTTGCTTTTTATTTTCTTGTATTCAATGCTCAAGTACTTTTTTTTCCCCCTTCCAGAGCTTTGGTACACCCCCAAACTTTGTTTCACCTCTGTTAAACAAGAGATTCTCAGCTCTAAAAAATACATTTGTAGCATAGATGAACTAAACATAGTGTACAAGTAACCACAACCCATTTTAAGGCAGACATTTAACAAGTAATAGGATTTATAGTTTGGAGATGTCATCAAAAATTATGGGATTGTTTTAAACACTAATTGTGCATTAAATACTTTTAAGAAAGAAAACATTTGCTAAACTGTTTCAAGGAGCAAGTTATATTACACTAGTATAGTTCACCATTATATTGTTTTTGAAGGTAATCATAATAAACAGCTGCTTAGATTTTGTGTCTTTTATGTAAAAGTATTCAACGTATCTTAGAAGTGTTTTGGTACCAATGTGTATATGAAACAATCTAATTCATTTGTAATTACACAAGATATGATAGAATAAGAGGACTGGTGACCCTTTCATAAATGGCAGAAAGATATTATCACCACATCTTATGGGCCTGAATTGTATTCTCCACAGAAGTATCTTTTTAAAAATAAACCTACAATTTGAGATAATCACACATTTAAAAAAGTGTGGTTTAGTCTGTAATTAGCCTCATAAATTACCAGCAATTTTATTCCCATGCAGTATTCAAAACTATATAGGTTATAGATTATGTAAAAAGCAACAAAAACATAGTAAAGCACATGATCCACTGACAGTCTAGCCTATACAGGAATATTGGGGGCTAGAAATAGAACTAAAACTTTCAGTATGTTAGCAGAAATTCCTTTTACTTGTGTTCAAATGTACTTGTTCTTGTTTACAGTGAGTGAAAACCAACTATGAATTATATTTTTCTTAACTCCTTTAATAGAAAGGGGGGTAAGTCATCCCCCCCCCCAAAAAAAAGAAAAAAGGTGGTTGTGTTCTCCAAAATAATATATATATTTACACAACTTAATGATAGATCTATCATGAACTGAAAGAGTTAAATCTGAGTTATAGTTCCTGATGTCACTGGTCAAGATAAAACTTGTAAATAGACTTTCATAGCAACTAGCAGTAATTTCATAGTAAAATAAACAGTGTCTTTAGTACTCCTAAAATTTTTAATTCTCCCAAAATGTTTACAATTAGCCTTCAAAAGAATTTATTCTGTTTCCAGCCACATTAGGATATAAATCTTATGTTGATGTTAACCTGGTATAAATAACTGGTGATTTCATGAATCCAGTTTGAGCAGAAAATTCTTTAAGTTAGTTTTATGCTGCCTTGGTGGCTCAGTAGTAAGCTTGAAGGCTTATAA